CTTCCAACTTCCTGAACTGGAGGGGCCACTTCTTAGGTTGTTTCCTTCAATGTGTCACTGTGCTCCTGGGTCCTCTGCTGCTTTCTCTCTAGGAAACGAGCGCGTGCATCTGATATAGACTTATCATCATTTCTTCTTTGCATTTTCTTCAGGACTTCTTTTGATATTTCATCTAAAAACAGAACAATTGAATAAAACTTTAATTTTGTGCTTCTGTACTAAAAGTGTCAAGACTTTATTATTGTGATCTCAGTGAAAATATACAAAACCTATTGGTTTTTCATGAAACTTATACACATTCTGTTTTATAATATTAAGTACAATACTCATAAGGTAATTTACACTTTCCCCACTTTTCCCCCAGTAATTCTTATTCCCATTAATCCTTCTAACCTCCTCCTTCCTGTCTCAGGGATTTGTCCTTGGGCGAATGCTTCTCTTTTGACCTTATATGGTTGGTCTGTCTAAGGAGTGAATGCTTCCCTGGTGTCACTTTATCTCGACTGTATTGTAGAGTAGGAACAGACTCATAGCTGACCTTCCGATGGCTTGTCAGAGGCTGTAAATCGCATGGGAAGATTGACCACCATTCTCCTGCAGAAGAGCTGGTGGCTTCAAACCATATGCTTTCAACTTGGCAGCACAACTCATTACCACTAAGCCACCAGAGCTCCCTATATGGGCTGTCTATTGTTTGGTTCAAAGTTGGGCCATATAGGTTAAGTGTAGTTCTAGGATAGAAGGGTGAATAAGAGCCAGAGCCTTGCGGCTTCCAGTCCTCTACAGCACCAATAAGCCTGGCTTTTTTTTATGTTTTGAGTTTTGTTGTACATTTTCACCTACTTTATCTGGGATATTCTGTCATTTGTTTAGAGTGGTCAGCAGTAAAAGTGAGGCACCATTAAATTCAGGTTTGCTTGGTTTGTTAGTACTTTTGACTAATTGTTTCTACACATCTTCCCTTTCCTTCCCTCTTTTTTGTTTCAGACAGGGAGAGACCAACAGATGGCTACCTGAAAGTGTTTATAATCCCAGTCACTACTTACCAAAGTAGGATGAAGAATACTGTCTTTGTGGAATATGTTATACCAATTGACCTTGATGTCTGATGTTCTTACAAGGTCCCAGAAGTAGCAACTCAATCCATTTGGTTGCTTTGTTATGGCTACGAAGCTTACAAAGCATTAGCTGGTTCTGCTATAAATGCTGAATGTCTTTATAGTATATACTAATAAGAATGTATAAGAAACAGTAGAGTCAATGGTTTGTGGGGGAAAAAAGATGAGCATGTAGACATTAAAACCAAAACAGGAGCTCTGGTGGCCCAGGGGAAAGAAGCTTCATAGCCAACTCAAAGATACATGGTTTAAATCCACCAGCTCTCACCAGAAAGATGGGCAATCTCTTTTCGTGTAATTTACTGCCTATAAAAACCCACTGGAAGGTCAACTCGATGGTACTTAACTATGACAAGAAAAAGAATGTAGAAATATCATCTGCAAAACCTATGTATGGTCATGGGTACAGACCTTTTCACCTTACTCATCTAGTCACCTTACTCATCTGCCTATGTATCTGCTACTGATTGTATTTTTGTGCTCTTTTCTGGAGACATCCTGATTTTTCAATGTTTAAAAAAAAACAAACAAAAAACCAAAGAGGAATTACATTTTGCCCTACAGAAGAAATAGTACCCCCATGGTTTTAGGGGTAGCGGATGGGGGGAAGAAGAGTATGAAGGCCTTAAAACCAAAATGGGAGGTCTAGTGGCACAGTCTAGTTCATAGTGTTGCCCTGTTAACACGCTGCCTCACACTTTTAAAACTGACAACCATGCTTAGAAACACATTTGCCGTCATTTGTGGCAACCTAAAGGGCTGGGCATCTTTGCCAGTTTGAGTTTGCCAACTGCTCCACTGGACAAAGACAGGCACTCTCTTTCCATTAAGATAAACTGATCTTTGTAGAATGCTATAACTCTGCAATAAACACTTAATAGCTAAAATTTATAAAAACTTCTTTATGATTTCTTGGGCAAAATTCACCATTTTATTTACGAGTGATGTTAAATAAGATAACACAGCTGCCTCTGTCATTCAGCCTTAAAATGCTTTATTGAAAAGCTTTTTACATATGTGAGCTAAGGTTTAAGCTTGCTATCCTACTTCAGTACCATAACTTTATGCCTCTATACTAAACACTAATATTTCATTTCACAGAAAAAGCCTCTGGGTGGGGACAACGTTCTGAGGTAATAATGCACAAATTTTATAAACAAAATGGAAAGAATACAGTATTAGTATGAGGCAGTATAATCCATAGCCATTAAAGTATTGGCTTTAGAGTCATGCTCTGTGCCAAATCTTTATTCCACCACTATGAAGTGGGGCTATGTACTTACCTCACAGAGTTACTGTTCAATGAAAAACTTAAGTGGCTGGCACATGGTAAAAGCTCAACAGACACTATTAATAATAGTGTTTGACAAAGAGGCTAAGGAAATTATGGCTCATTAAATAGAAAAGTGGAACATAAAAATGAATATAAATCCAACAATGAATGAGTGAAAGCCCAAAATCTCTGTAAATGTTTATGAAAATTAATAAAATATAATTATAGAAAAAAAATGAATATAAATCTAAGATTTAGGACAAAACTTTGCAGAGACAGATTTAGAACCTAAGCTCTGTAATAGCATTACTACTATTATATGAAAACTAGGTTTATGCTCCCTGGACATCACTAAAACTAGTGATTCACTCACCTTTTAATTGCTTTACATTTTCCTTATTTGTCCACCTCTTTCTTGCATCTTCTCTTGCTTCACGTCGGGCCACACTGCTCAGATCATGAGCATTAAATTCATGCAACTTGGGTAACAAGTCTTTCACCCATTCATAACGAATTGGACACACAATTCTTGCGTAGACTTTGGTAGTAACCAATACCTCATGAAAAATAATCCATTCAAGTTTGGTTTCCTGTTCATGAAGCTATACAAAAGCATTCATTTAAGGATGATACATAAATAACATCTTATTCCAATACTGTTGTTGTTGATTGTCTTCAAGTTGAGCAAGACTCACAGTGACTCCATGAACAAAAGCCCTGAAGCCCCTCTACAACCATCGACATTTATCAAAGTTCATAGAGTTTCCAGAGGCATGTAATTTAGGAAGTGGATACCACTCCTGCTTCCAAATTCTAGACCAACAAAATAATAATTGCCTAAATTTTCTGAACTAATAACTTCTTTAATCAAACAGTAGGAATGGGCCAACCAATACACTTACAGTTTCTATGTAACACAGATATATTTAACTAGAAAGCAAATTATAAAAAGAGAAATACCTACATATTACTTATTTCTACATCTTCCTAAATTTCTTCTCTTATCCACTTCCTAAGTAACATACCTCCGAAAACTCTAGAACTTTGATTAATGTCGACAGTTGCAGAGCAGCTTCAGACTTTTTGTTCATAGGGTTGCTATGAGTCATGCTCGACTCAAAGGCAATCAACAACAACAACAACAACAAAGAAAACCAAAGTACTTACTGCTGAGGAAGGATGAATGTGAACTGGGCTTCCACGTCCATCCATTGTGCAAAATGTTCTCCCAACAGATCTATAAAAGAACCAAAATATGATAAAAATGAGAAGAGTAAAACACGAAATAGTGTGTTAAGTTAAACAATCAGCAATTTTATGTTCTACCATGGAGTTTTAAATTTATTAGCCTGTCATTATGAACCATTTCATCTTAAATCGTGGTTTTGTGCTGCTGAGTTGGAATCAGCCCACAGATTATACGTTCATGTGCTCTTAATGTGCTACACTGTTGGGTCACCTTTTCTTAGAATGAGGATAAATAAGGATCTCTTCTAATAAGATGGCCAGAAAGTAGTCTGTTAAATTTCTAAGCACAGTCAGGGTTGCCTCTGTTTGCTCAGATGGTATTCTATTAATGCCGAGGGCCTTCTTTTTGCCAGTGTCTTTGGTGCAGCTCTAACTTCTTCCTTCATTACCACTGGTTCTTGATTGTATGCTACTTCCTGAAATGGTTCAGTGTCAAACAATCCTTTCTCTTATAGTGAGTCTGTGTATTCTTTGCACTTCCTTTTGATGCTTCCTGCATATTTAAGATTTTTCCAGAGAATCTTTCAGCATTGCAACTCGAGAGCTGAATGTTTTGTTTAGTTCTTTCAGATTGAAAAATATTGAGCATATTCTTACTTTTTTGGTTTTCAAAGTCCAAGTGTGCACATTTCGTTATAACACTTTTCTCGCAGTCCTTTCAAATGACAATTTTTTTCTCAAAAATTTGTTCATCTTCCTTATTTCATAATTTGCTCCTTTAGCTTCTCTGTGTTCAAGAGCAAGTTTTATAGTCTCTTCTTAAACCTATTTTGTTCATTTTTTGGCAGGTATAATGAAGTGATGATGTATTTTCATTGCATTTTATCAAAAAGCATTGAATTTAAAAAGAAACAACCAACATACAATTTACTCATTCCATGACTGTTCATTTTAATTCCTAAATAAATAAAGGCAGTATCTGACAAGTTTCCCTACTATAAAAATTACTTTACCCCTTGGTAATTCATAAGAATTTTGTATAGGAGAACTTAATTACAAAAGTAATACAATTCTTCTTTAAACATTCCATATTCATAGACCTTTGTCTTCACATTTTAGTCAACGAATTACATGTAATGCATTACTGGCAGTATTTACCTGATGCTCAAAATGCCCCACAGACTGTCAATCTACAATCTCTTTAAGCTGGTTCTTGTGTACTCAGAGCTTGCTAATAATCTTTAATTACTGTTTGCTTACTGTCGGAATAAGATGTTTTAGGTTCTTCTTCTATTTTCCCAGTCCCTTTTGTCCAAGCAGTTCTGACTCTTAAATGGCAAATAATTATTTACAAGTCAAGATTTGAACTTTAAGTATATTTTTTTGCTACTGGCATATCACTGCTGCCAGTCTCTCACAGAGCTAAGGCAAAGATATATAAACACAAATAAATAATACATATACTCATCTACTTTTCCTTATATTTATTTATCCAACGATCTATTTACCCACCCATCATCAATATGGAAAACCACAGATGGACAAAAATTCTGGAATTCCAATCCAACAGCCCAAGATTCATTCTTGTTTTCTCCCTATATTTTTAACTCTCTTGTCCATTATTCTTAATATATTTATTTAGCAAATCTTTTGTACATAACCGATATATCATCAAAACAATTGTCAATTCTTCCACAAAACAATCCTCACCACACTCAGGCTCTGACACTGCACACTACGCAAACTCTCATGTGCATGCCATTCCATCCGTCTCAAGCTCTGAAACTCCACACTAAATTTTCCTTCCTCAGGGATGTCCACTCCACCTGTCTGGCTTTCTCACATCACAAAGGGCCACACTCTGAAACAACCCTTCACATCCAACTTAGACACTGACATTCTATGCTGAATAACTCTTATCTATGTTGTTGTTAAGTGCTGTTGAGTATAAATCATAGCAATCTTATAAAGAACAGGCCTGAATCCTGTCCGATCCTGTGCCATCTTAATCATCTCTGGCACACTTGAGCCCACTGCTGCAGTCATTGTATCAGTTCGTCTCAATAGGGTCTTCCTCTTCTCTTTGCTGACCCTACATCTTTGCAAGCATGATATCCCTTTCCAAGGAACAGCTCTGCCTAGGAATATGTCCACAATTTTATCTTTGCCTCCAAGGACCACTTTCTCCAAGACATTTCTATTTGTTCTTCTGGTGATCCACTGGCTATTCAGTACTCTTCACCAGCACCAAAACCCAATGGCATCAATTCTTCTGTCACACTTACTGTCTAACTCTCAGAGCCATAGCAAATGACTGAAAAGACCATGGTATGAATCAGGCACACTATAGTATTCAAACTGATGTCATTGCTCCCCAGTACTGTGGAAAAGTCCCTGACAGAGGATTTACCCATTGCAATCCATCTCCTGATTCTCAGACTAATACCCAGGGCACTGATTATTGGTCCCATAAAGAGGAAATTATCAGTAGCTTCAATCCTTTCTCCATTTATCATGATATTAAATGTTGGCACTGTGCATTTCAACTCTTCCTCACTTTCAGCAGGCAAAATTGTTATCAGCATAATGCATGCTGTTGAGTCTTCCTGAGCCTTGACAAGGACCATGTATAAAATCACATTTTGTGTTTTTTAAGAGGTATTTGCGATGAATAAATCATTGAACACATTCAATCATTCTATCTCCAGTCTCATTTCTGTCACCAAGTCCATACTCATCGACTACCATTCCTTCCTCATTGTTTCCAAATTATGTGTGCCAGTTATCAATAATTACTAATGCATCTTAATTGTATGTATGGTCAATATCAGACTGTAAAAGTAGGTGCAATTCCTCAATCTCTTTCTCTTTGGCTTTAGTTGTTAGTTTATATATTTAAGGGGTTGTATTAATAAGTCTTCCTTGTTATGCATCTGGACAGTATCCTATCACTCACAACATTGTACTTTTAGATAGATTTTGAAATTGTCTTTTTAATTTTAAATGGAATACTAGTCTTCTTTAGTTTTTCATTTTCAGGATCGTAGACTGTACAACTGTCTGATTCAAAGTAGCTAATGTCAGTCTATCTCAGCTCAGAGATGCCTAGAATGTCAATTTTCATGTGTTCCATTTCATTTTTGACAACTTCTTGTTTTACCACATTAATACTTCATTCCAAATTCCAATTATTAATGGTTGTCTGCAGTTATTTTTCATCATTTTTGAGTGACTTCCCGTCTGGGCTCTACCTCTAAGCCTATATGCCTCATTTTTTCATGACCTGTGTTCCTCGTTTTTTCATAGGGTTTTCAAAGATCCATGATTTTGGAAATGTAGATTGACAGACTGTACGAACAGTTGTTGTTGTTGTTGTTGTTATGTGCCGTCGAGTCGCTTGCGACTCATAGCGACAAACAGTAGTAAATAATAAACATGCCAGCCTATACACACCTATGATATAAAGTCATTTACAATATGCTGACAGGTGGTGTCCTTCTAATAGCAAACTGTAAAGGCAATTAGACAAATGAATACCATGGTGCAAGATGCCCTTTTCTGACTCCATTTGAGGCCCAAGAAGGTGTGGCAGGATGGGGTCTTGGCAGTGTTTGGTCTAGAGAACTGTTCAGCTGGATCCATGATGTTGGTGGTTGGCACGTGCACTAGGCTGTGGCTCAGCTGTTTTCCTGGAAGCCCATGATGATTTGCCTCAGGTATGTCCAAGCTCAAGGACCCCACTGGTTATATAGATTCCCCTTTATCCCACCTGAGTTCCAACATCCAACTCTAGGCTACTGCAGTTCCCCAGACACAGTGACAATTATGAAAATGGTCATTGGAATTGATGTAACTGTCATCACAGAGCTTAAATCATATCTTCAATCCTGAATATTAAATAGTTCAAACAGTAGTAAAATGCAGTGTGTTTCTTTACCCTTCTTTCAAGCTCACATTGCTTACCTTCGAGCTACATTTTTGAAATAGCCTGCACAAAGACACCTTCGTAGTACTTCATGCTTAGGACCTTCAAAGGTCTCTCTTGGGAAATCACTTTGCTATAAAAAGAATAAATATATAGTAGTAAATTTTCTTTTACTATGGTCAGCAGCACAATACATTATGTCGCTGCTCCAATTGGCTTGGTGAGGCTATCTGACCCTCTAGACAGGGTGACAGCTCCTGTCTATGACTGTGACATCAGAGCTCCTTAGGTGGCATTTAATCAAAACCTACTGTCATTGAGTCAATAGAGACTTTTCATTCAGCATCCTAGTCTATACATCATAACACCTTTCTCTTTCAAAGCAGCTAGTGGATTATAAAGGGTTAAGGAAAAACTATGGGGAATAAAGGATATATTCACTTTTTTAAAAAACTGTGGTGGTTGTTTGTGAATATACACAGAATTAAAACTCATCAAATTGTAACTTCAATTTTGTACAACTTAATGCCAATTTCTATAGATAAAATTTACTACCACTGAGTTAAAAAACAAAATGGGGAGAATGTGATGTGCCCCACATGTGGCCTTGAGTGTACTCTTGTGGCCATTTTGAAAATGATCTTCAACAGGATTCTCCTTGCAAAGGAAGATGAAAGATGGCTGACCTGAGCACTGCACAGAGCTTCCTGCCTCACAGCCTGCCTCAGAAAACCGTGGTCTGAGTTCTTGTTCTACTGCCTTTATTACTTTTTCAACCTTGAGCAGGTATGTTCACTACTCTCGCAGCCCCTTCTCCATTTGTGGAAGGGGAAAGTAATAATACCTACTTTGAATTACAATTAGACCACTTGCGGGAGAAGAAGGGGGCAATGATGGAGGTGCTAGCGCCCTAGCTGCAGTCCTCAGTAGGGCACAAGGTCTAGACAGAAGAGTTTTGGGGTGGGAGAGCCATCCCACCCTAGGGAGAGCCACCTGGCAGGGTAGAGCAGCCTGGCCCCTGAGGAAAGCTGCCTGGTGTGTATGAACTTTATCTAAATCACTTTACTCTATCCCCTCCTCCAGTTCACCTGTAACACTTCCAAAACCCTTTTCTTTGTAAATCACAAATTTGTTCTGTCCAGATTTGCTCCATTTCCTACAGGTAACTTGAACACTGAGTCTTGTTCCAGAACCTAAACCCTGAGCCTGGTTTCAGAGACAAAAGGAAAATATAACTGTCAGCTAAGGAAGAGAAGGTGGATGGAGCCTCAAAGTTTAGCGAGTCACTCCTACTGGACTCACCCATGCAAACGCCTTGCAGTCCAGGGGGGCAGAAAACGTCATGAAAATATCTTCTTACTGAACAAGAAGGCATGCAGCTTCAACTCAAGCCTACCAGTAAAGTTTTAAAATGGGCTCCCCTTCATCGCAATATCCCTGTTCAGCATGAAGCAGTCAGAGAGTCTGCGCCCCTATTTCCAAATGGGAAACCCACAAATAAAAAAATCTCTTTGTTAATAAGAATTAATCACCATTGGAGTATGCCCACCATTACCCCGTCGTTTTGTTTGTTTTTATTAATTTAAATGAAAGTTTACAAGAGACTTAGGGTTTCCATTCATTCATTGTTGCACTTTTCTCCCTGCCCACCTCCTCCCCCCAACTCACTCTTCTCCTTGAAAAGTAAAGAAAAACTCTTTCATTGTTATGCAATCCCTCTTTCTAAGTCCATTCCACGGTGCAGCCTTCATTCTGGACTCCTGTCATGGCAATAATATCCAATCAAATATCCCTTTTAAACAGTTCTCTCCCTCATCTGTTTCAATGCAGCACACACAATTCCTCCCCTCCTTTTCTGTCTTCCCTCAACCTTGATGTCAGTCCTATTTTACAACAGTGGCCCTATGCAATATCTGTCCTTTTGTGACTGAGATATTTCATTCATTCCTTGATTTTCAATGCTGCACAGTATTCCATTGTGTTAATATACCAGAGCTTCTCTACCCATTCGTTTGTTGATGGGCACTTGGGTTGTTTCCAGCTCTTTGTTAATTGTGAACAAAGCCGCAATAAACATGGGCGTGCATGTATCTGCTTTTGTGGTGGTTATGGTTTCTTTAGGGTAAATTTCTAGTAGTAGAACTGCTGGGTCAAATGGTATTTCTATTTGCAACTTTTTGAGAAAGTATGATCCAGCCTTCCATAGTGGTTGCACACTCTCCCCAACAGTGAACAAGGGGTTCTAGTTTCTCCGCAACCTTGCCAGCATTTGATGTTTGCCATTCTGTTAAATTTTACTGTTCTTACTGGGGTGAGATGCTATCTCATAGTTGTTTTCATTACCCTGTCTTTTCCAGTCCCTGCTAGATCCTTCTTATTTCCTTTGACTACTCTTTCCACCCACAAACTGTGCAACCCTGTGATTTTATCACTACCCAAACTCACCCTTCTGCTCCTACCCCTTGCCCACTATACATATTTTTTCCAATACTATATATATATATATAGTAAAAGGAAAGAGAGAGAAGTAACTTTTATCAATGAAAATTCAGTATGAAATTCTGAGACCAAAATGCTACTCATGGGGAAAAAATGACTAAAAAAAAAAATCACCTGCTTAAGCTTCCTGATTAGTTCTCGAAGTTGAGCTTCTATACGAAATGCAGAAAATAAGCACCTCCAATGAATCCAATGTTTTTGGCACCAGGAAGCTGGAGCTCCACTGCAAAACAATACTAGTGTCTTTGAAAAATCTTCTAAAATGAAAATCAATCTAATCTCATTTCTGTTACAAAGCTAGAAGCCCATAAACAAGTGTCAGCTCTTCTACAGATCTGTCCAAGTACTAAGAAGTCACTTCTGGGAATTTTAAAAAACAATTAAACTAATGCAAATGCCATTGGCAGAATTAAAAATAATTTGGAAATTGATTTATTTTTACATAGAGGTTTTAACAAGTAACTAATCATTTTCAAATGTAAACTAACCATAGAGAAGCAACATGCTATATTGTCATTTTCAGGAAAGTTTGGAGAGAGAACAGAACAGAACTAAGATTGTATCATCACTCATTGTTCTCAAGTTGGAAACAACTCATGACTCACCATTGGGTTTCTAGGCTGTAAATCACAAGGCAGGAAACTGCTCATTTTTCTCTTGCTGAGAGGCTGGAGGATCTGAACTACCAGAGGCTTGACCTTTGGGTTAGCAATGCAACTCCCTACAGCATAGGCTACCAGAGTTCCCTATCAAATAGTAAGTGCCCACCAAATGACAGCTGATACAGATCATCTTGCTAATGTGAAAAAAAAAAAAGCTTTAAGGTCATTAACATTTCCACTAAACCATAGTGTCTAAAGTCACACAGTAAGTACAACTATGCTTTAAAGTGACAAAACTGACATTCTCTAGTAATGGGACTACTTCACCTACCTTGATTTGCATTGTTCAAAAATGACAGCTAATGTTGCAAAATCATTAAATCCTCCAGCTTTAGCTGCCAGTTCTCGATGTCTTTGTTCTGCCTCTTTCTGGTACTCTGGATCAACTAAATGACAAATGGAGACACAATTCAGTTCTCCTTCATATTAAATGACTGCATTAGTTATTCAAGCTCAGTAAAAGCTTCTTAACCCTCTGGGATAAAAGAAGAAGGAGCTATATTAACATTTGTTACTGGGCTTAGGTGTCATCCAGTTGGTTTTTTATTTGTAGTGTCCCCATGAGATGAAGTAGAATTGCTTCTCAGGGTTTTCCTGACTGTAACCTTTATAAAACAGAGAGCCAGGTTTTCCCCAAAAAGCCACTGGCTGAGTTCAACAACAGTTGAGTGCTAAACTAGTGTACCATCAGGACTCCTTTTGGGGAGCTCTCCCATTTTTTTTCTTAAATTTCATCAGAATAGCAACATTACTCATACCAATCTATTAACCACAACATAGTATTTAGAATTTCCTTTTTTAAAAATCAGTTTTTTAAAAAACTATGACTTAAGTGTAAATTTTCTTATAGTAGTAAACCTTCTTCACTTTAAAAATAACTTACTGGTACAACATGATATAACGTAATATCCATGTTTCCTATTTTGTTGTATTACCCATGGACCTCTTCAAAACTAACCACTGTTAGTGTGTTCTTAAAGATACTTTCTATGTAACTACAAGTACATATATAATGTTTTCTTTTGACATAAATAAGACATCTGTTCTATAACTTACTTAGTCATGTAATAAAAGCTCCATGTAACACATACAGAATTATTCTCAAAACCAGCTATACAGTATGTCCCAAGGTAAGGGGATCAAAATATAACCAGTCTAGGGGAGCTCTGGTGGCCTAGTGGCAAGGAGCTGTAACTACAATCTCAGAGACACATGGTTCGAATCCACCAGATGCTCTGCTGGGAAAGGAGGGACAATCTCCTCCTGTACCAGTCAAATCTGATTGGACGGTACACGCACACAAAAATAATAAAAAAAAAAATATAACCAGTCTATACATTGTAACATAGACATGACCTTCATTCTGCAGAAATTATCTATTTCTAAAATTTGTTTTCTTTAGGCTATTTAACATGCATACACAAAACTGTATATGTATATTAAAGGTATAGTTCAATGAATGCTCACAAAGATAACATCAAATAAATCAAACACCTAAATCAACAGAGTATTATCAACATTTCAAGAGATACTTGAGGCTCTTCTTTTAAAAAACTGCTCATTTCCCTCAAGAGTAGACAACCTGGTTCTTGGTGTTGCTGTAATGGTTAGCTCTGCTGGGTCTAATGAAGAAAGAAGAATTGTAACATGATGTAGTATAACTAGAGGAAGCAGGCTTACGCAGTTTTCTAAAACGAGACTCTGGCAGATGTTACTGTCATTCTGAGGTACCATTAAGTCAGTTTCTAATTCCTAGCAACACTATGCACAACACAATGAAATGCCTGTCCTGTGCCATCTCACAACTGTTGCTATGTCTGAGCACTTTGTTGCAGCCATTTTATCAATTCTCATCATTGACGGCCTTCCTCTTTTTCACTGGCCCTCTACTTTTCCAAGCATGATGTCCTTTGAGAGAGACTGTACTCAAAGTACATGAGATGAAATCTCTCTGTCTTTGCCCAAAGAGTAGTCTGGCTGTACTTTTTCCAAGACAGATTTGTTTGTTCTTCTGGCACAGTCCTTGCTTTGGTCAGGATTCTTCAGCCACAATCCATAAACCTAATCCAAATGCATCAATTCTTTTCGAGTCCTCCTTATTCACTGTCTAGATTTTTTTATGCATATGTAATTAAAAATATCATGACTTGGGTCAGGCAAACTGTACTCTTTAGTAATATCTTTGCTTTTAACACTTTATATAGATCTTGTTAAGCAGATCTGCCAAATAATATGTCCTCTGATATTCTGACAGCTGCTTCCATGTGTATTGATGATGGATCCAAGTAAAAGAAAATTCTTGACAGTTTTGTTATTTTCTCCTTATCATGAAGTTTATTCATTCACTTGTAAGGATTTTTTGTTTACTTTATGATGACATAAAATCTATACTGATATTTGATCTTTTTATTTCAAAGTCTTTTTCACTTTCAACAAGCAAGGTCGTGTCATCTGTGTATTATAGATTATTAATGATCTCAACATATAATTCAGCCTTGTGGGTTATTTGCTGAGTACACAGATTCAAGAAGCATAATGAAAAATACAACCATGACATATATTTTTCTTAATTTTAAACCATGTAATAATAGTCCATTGTTCTATTAAAAAAAGTTTCTTGGTGTATGTGCAGATTTAGTATGAGTACAATTAAGTGTTCAGGAATGGTCATTCTTCACATTGTTGTTGTGGTTGTTATGTCCCATCCAGTCGCTTGCGACTCATAGCGACCCTATGTACAACAGCCCTAAACTCTGCTCTGTCCTGTGCCAATCGCACCATCTCCGACACACCCATCCCGATTACCCCAGTCACTGAATCAATCCACCTCATAGAGGGCCTTCCCCTCCTGTGCTGTCCCTCCACCCTACCAAGCATGATGTCCCTCTCCAAGGACCTGTCTCTCCTTGCAACATGACCAAAGTATGTCAGACAAAGCCTCAGAATCCTTGCCTCCAAGGAGCCGCCCGCTCTCTCAAGGATGAATCTGTTTGTTTTCTTAGCAGTCCATGGTACCCTCAATACTCTTCTCTAGCACCACAGCTCAAAGGCATCAATTCTCCTTCTATACTCCTTAGTCATTGTCCAACTCTCTGATGTATAACAAGTGATTGCAAAGACCATAACTTGTATCAGACACACCTTAGTCTTCAGAGTGACACCACTGCTCTTTGCTACTTTGGAGAAGTCCCTAACAGCAGACATTCCCATCACAATACATCTTTTAATTTCCTGGCTGCTGGTGCCAAGAGTGTTGACTGTGGAGCCAAGCCGACTAAAGCTGTGAACAATCTCAATCTCTTCACCATCAATCCTGATGCTGCCAACTAGTCCAGTGGTGAGAAGAATCTTTTGGCACTTATTTTGATCTTTTCTTTCCTGTGTTTTTAAGTGACTCTTTGCTTTTGTCATGTATGATATAGAACACTGTATAACATAACTCATCTTTCTTTGCTCATTAGTGTTCAAAGCACCAAATTTATCTCTAAATCCAGTAAGAATATAGTCAAAGTCATATTTTTTTAAATTTTATTTTTGTGTGAGTATACCGTCAAATAAGATCTGACTTGTACAGGAGGAGATTGACCCTCCCTTTCCCGGCAGAGCATCTGGTGGATTTGAACGGTGTGCCTCTGGGATTGTAGTTGCAGCTCCTTGCCACTAGGCCACCAGAGGTCCCCCAAAATCATATTTTTAATTTTGTGGACTTGTTTCAACTTTTTCTACCTTCAAACTGAACTTGCACGGGAGCAACAGATGGTTCCTTCCAAAGTCAGTCCCTGATTTTGTTCTGGTTGATGTTAATGAGCTTCTTCACAGATTCTTTCCATAGATACAATATATTGGATTCTTCTGTCTTCCAAGGAAACCCATGTATATAGTCACCGTTTTTGTTTAAGAACAATATTGACAACAGTTGCTGGCCTTGCAAAATACTATCATACTATCTTTAGCATAATTTCTGTCACCAAGGCCATGTTTTCCAATTACTGATCCTTCTGTTTCCAAGTCCTGCATTTCAATCATCAGTACTTATCAATGTATCTTGGAATGTATCTTGAGGGCATATTTAATCAATTTCAGAATGCAGAGGTTGGTAAAAATCTAGAAATTCTTCATATTTGGCATATGAATTAGAATAATATGCATATTAATTGGTCTTCCTCCTAGGAATATGGATATCATTCTATTATTTGTTATACATATAGAGACAGTATTTATTTTATAGACTCTACCATGACTGTGCAAAGAAATAGTGCCCAATTTTAGGAAGAAAGCAATCTGATGATATTTTTTAAAAGGCTTTAAGGTATAAAGTTTACTATCCCAGGCTTTATTTTATTTTTTTAAATTTTTTTTATTATTTATTCTTTTTATGTGTGTACCGTCAAATTGGATCTGACTGGTACAGGAGGCGATTGTTCCTCCTTCTTCAGCAGAGCATCTGGTGGATTTGAACCATGCACCTCTGCAGTTGCAGTGCAGTTTCCTGCCACTAGGCCACCAGAGCTCGCCTATCCCAGGCTTTAAATATATCCCAACTATGTGGCTTAGATAACAACTGAAGGAAGTAGCTACATACAAAAGAAAAGTGACTATAGCTTTACTCTGGGGGCCTAATGATAAGAAGCTGGGATGCAATCCCAAAGGCATGCAGCTCAATCCACCAAGAAAAGGATGAGCGATCTCCTCCTGTATGATTTACATCCTTTGAAAACCCACTGGAGGGTCAGCTTTGAATTAGTTCCAACTCAAAACCACATAACAAGTCATGTAAATAGTCCTGGTAAAGTGAAGATATGATTGATAATACCTCCCTCTCTCCCAAAACCTTCAAAGTTCATAATTTTTAACAAGAAACTTATAAAACTCAAAAAATCTTATTTCAAACACCTAAATTTCCGAGATGGTATTATCATGTGAAAGGTCAACAGCACTAGATTCAAGCATCAACTTCAACACCACAAGACAGGTCTACTTACTAACCATCAGGGACCCTTAGAATCACTGAATTGTGGTGTTCTAGGAACAGAAATGTAATGCCCCACCTGACCGGAGAAGCCTGGGCTAAGACACCTCAGAGGAGCTTCGAGCTGTGGTTCAATTCTTCTCCTCGCTGCCTCACAATGACCCTAAAGTCTTCACTTTGACTACAATACCTAATAAAGTGATCTTTTTAAAAACTGCTTAACACCTTCTAATAAGATGTAAAAATTAACTTTTTAACAAATTTTAGTGACGTATACTTTTAAACACATTCTCGTAATTTGAGAAGATTAATGCTGCATAATCAATTTTCAATTTCTTTTGTTCAGCATGACTACCTGCTCACACTTTAAAAAACCTTACAGAATACATTATTTATCTCCTTCTACTTTGCTTGATC